TCATCGGGGGGGCTCCCCTAATCTATATATTTATCAGAATAATAGTTAACGTACGTAGGTACCACTTTGTCTTTATGCACTCTGCTTTTATTAAGTTTATACGCAAATTCGCAAAATTATTCCTCCCTCACGATCCGTTCAACTCAATCCGATTACCTCCTGAGACAGGCACCAAAATCCGATTAAGCTAGGGAGTTTTTTGAAATGCACCAATTGAGTACCACTGTTCGATCGGATTAGAAATCCTACCATTTGTCATAAACACCCATAGCCTTAGATTGTATAAATGAACATTCGAATTTTATTTCTAAGGATTGTTCATTGCCAACGAATGAATTGTTGGAGGCGATTAGATTCATTTTAGATTCTTCTTACTTTATATTTAATCAGAAGATTTATAAACAATGTTTCGGCACACCCATGGGCTCTCCTTTGTCACCCATCGTTGCTGATTTAGTAATGAGAAGACTTGAAACGATGTCCTTGATGTCATGTAATTTGGATATTCTGTTTTATTTTAGATATCTAGATGACATCTGTACTACAGTCTTACCGGATAAAATAGACTCTTTATTTCAAACGTTTAACTCTTTTCATCCTCGTCTCCAATTTACACTAGAAATCGGAGACAAAAAATTAGAATTTTTGGACACATCAATCTCAATAATTGATAATTATTTTGTATTTGACTGGTACCGTAAGCCTACTTTTTAAGGTAGATTTTTATCTTTTTTTCAAATCATCCTGTTTCTCAAAAAAAAGGCACAATTTACTCGCTGGTTGATAGAGCTTATTTACTTTCTGACTTAAATTTTCATACAAAGAATCTAAATCTTATCATTAACATTTTACTAAACAATGACTATCTATTATCCTTTATTTTTGACACAATCAACCAACGATTAAAACACCTGAATAAAAATGAAAATAATCATACATTAAGATTAAATCATAAAAACACCAACAATGATGACAATAATAAAAAAATGTCTTCTTGGCTTATTGTACCATTCATACCTTCACATACAGAGAAATTTAAACGTTTAATAATAATGACATCAGGGTATCGTTTCACAGTCCTAATAAAATGCGAACATATATTAAAGTTCAAAAGGATATACGTCCCCATACATCTAGAAACAATGTAGTGTATAAAATCAAGTGCAACGATTGCGA